CTTCACCGCCAATCAGGCCATCCTCGAGGCGGTGGCCCAGTACAGGCGGGTCCACATCGTCGACTATGACATCATGGAAGGGACGCAATGGGCCTCCTTGATGCAGGCACTGGCCTCCCGCAAGGACTCGCCACACATCAGGATCACGGCTATCTCCAGGACGGGAAGTGCGCGGAGATCAATCGCCACCATCCAGGAGACTGGCCGTCGTTTGACTGCCTTCGCCGCTTCCATTGGCCAACCGTTCTCGTTTCACCAATGCAGGCTCGACTCCGACGAAACCTTTCGTCCCTCAGCCGTGAAACTGGTTCGAGGGGAGGCGGTGGTCTTCAACTGCATGCTCCACCTGCCCCACCAGAGCTACCGGGCACCAGAATCGGTGGAGTCGTTTCTGAGGGGAGCGGCGGCATTGAAGGCGAGAGTGGTGACTTTGGTGGAAGAGGAGGGAGGGCCAACGGGGAAAGATGTGGGGTTCGTGGGGAGGTTCATGGACAGGCTGCACCACTATTCGGCGGTGTACGATTCGCTGGAGGCGGGGTTTCCGATGCAGGGTCGGGCGAGGGCGTTGGTAGAGCGGGTGTTCTTGGGGCCCCGAATAGCCGCGTCGTTGGCCCGAATATACAGAATGGGGGAATCGGAGGGAGGAGAGAGGGGGTCGTGGGGAGAGTGGATGGGTGAGGAAGGCTTGAGGGGAGTGGACATAAGCTTCGCGAATCACTGTCAGGCGAAGCTGCTGCTGGGGTTATTCAACGACGGGTATGGGGTGGAGGAGATGGGCAGTAAAAATAAGTTGGTTCTGAGTTGGAAATCAAGGCGCTTGCTTTCCGCTTCTGTTTGGACTCCATTTGTAAATTAACCCACACAACCTTAATTAGTAATTACTATGCTCAACTCGCTCCATGGCTTCCCTTCCTTACCTATTAACTTCCCAACATCTTTTTGGAACCTCCAAATACGAGTCATCATGTACGTGCACATCAATCACTCTTCCATCCATTAGTTCTGGATCTGTGAAAAATTAATGGCGCTTAATCGAATTTTGTTAGCTCATTTATATATCTTCTTGTTTTAGACGATGATGCGGAATTACAGATGGAACATATGGAAATCATCATTCCATTTCACTAATCGCGGCTCTGGATAACTTGAGCCTCCATTACATTTATTTCTATAAACTGAGGTGCGCTCTATTGCAGACGAAGGAAAATAACACGATCATATATTTTATTGACAACTATTTGAGCTGTTCGAGTGTCAAGTACAAGGTGGTTTATGTTCTCTCATTCATGTCCTTTCGGAAATTTAGATCGTTCAAGAAATTAGGTTCTTTTTTTTTTGGAATTTGAACCCGTCAAACTCAAAACGTTGTCGATGAAAAAAGCTCCTGAACTCTTCTTTAATTTCCATAACTCTTTTCCCTTATCTTTCACCTCTAACAATACTGTGCGTGTATATTGTATTATACTATATCTAGTTTTTTATATAAGAGCTAATTTAATTTTTATTTTAATCTTAAATATAAGACACAATCTTCCTTGTTTCTCATATTTATTTTTTTTTTAAGGTAGTCGTTGTAATAATGATAATTCTAATCAATACACTTGATTAGTAAGGATATTTTGGGAAAGATAATACATATTTATTACAAATAATTAATTTAACTAATTTTTTTAATTTATTTAAATTAGTTAACTAACTTTTATATTAAAGACCGAAAGTCGTGTTTGTTTTTCAAGGTATAAACAGATTTGACTAGTTCAATTTGAATTGAATGAAACATGAGACAGAAATAATTATGTTACTCCTGATTTAATTCTTTGATATGTTAAATAGCATGCTTCGTTAATGTATTCATGGGAATAATGATAAGGTTTTACTAATTACAAAACGTTAACATGGGATTAAAATTATGATATATAATCAAAATTTTTTTTAAAGCTATGAACAATATATAATTTACTTTAAACTCTATCCAAAACACCAAACGCGCAACCTAATTGATTGGAGTATATAAATTGAAACTGAATTGGAAGCTTAAAATAGATACAGTGGCTGGTGGTGGGTGTCACATCCCCCTCTCCCATAAGTTGGCCCGAGAAGGAAGATTCCTGGGAATATATGTACCCTTACGTCTCACAGTTTTGGATGTATATGGCAAGTTAAAGTGATTTTATAACTACTATAATAAGTTCAGATACATAATCTCAAGAAAAAACACCTATTCCATCGCATTCTAATAAATATATATTTATTTAATGTTCTGGGGTCACAAACCAACGCTTGCTTGTTTTCTCTGTTGTAGGTTACTCAAATGCCAAGCACAATAATTATCATCTCCGACAAGAAGCTCAGAAGTATGGCAACATGCGCACGCACTTGTGTCACTCGATCACATTCTTTTATCTTAATTGCAAAAACGATGAATCGGTTTCTCATCTCTGATCTGTGCGCTGCTACGTATGATATTTTCTGCACTGAAACCAAACTCGTCACGGGAGAGCTAACTCCGAGAGTACGCATATTTTAAGCTCCGTATATCTCCGGCGGTAACATCATTAATCAGGACATCAATTCCTTTCGTAGTACATATATATCTACATCTATAGTGGAATAGATTAATCAGCTGAAGCCATATGTTCTATCTTTTAAGTATTATATTTAATTTAGTTGATGACAGGGTATATGTACATAATGTCTGTTTGGAAATAACTTATAACTAAATTTTCAATCATGATTTACCAAACACAAGATAAGTACGTGAAATATGTTTACAAGTCATTTCTAATACCATGCCAAAGAGATCAGAGCCATAATATATCGTGATTTGAAGGTAGTAATTAAACGCCGTATAAGTTGATAATGTTACGTTTGATAAATGGTGGATCATAAATGGGAAAATGACGACGGAGGGCGCATAATTGAAGCAATTGATGCGGACAATTGTTGAGATTGTGACTTAAATTTCTATAATCCATTGAGATTATTTTTATTTATTATCTTAAAACATCTTACATCTCCAGTGTATTTATGATCAGGAAAGATTTTAGGATATGTTTTTTATTAGCCAGCTTAGTATTTTAGTTTTTAAAAAGTTTTGTTTGTGTATAGGTACATATATGCAGTGTTTTTCTACTCATAAAGATGAGTCGATTATTATAATAAACCCTATTTTTTCACAATAGAATTTTTCACTCTGCTTCATGTTAGATTTTCCCGTGTTAAATTATTGTGGGCATCTTTTTGTCATATTATTGTACTTATTTATTATTATGTCTCGCTGTTAAATCATTTTATTAGACGCTCTGCAATTATCAGTATAGAATGTAGTAAAATACAATATGGGGACGACCAACGAGTTTTGATAAGGATGTGTAGTTTTTAGGCGCATATAAATATATATATATATATATATATATTATATATATATAGGGGGAAGTTCAATTAGTGCAGCGAAGGAAAATGATGGGGATATATATGGCAGAGATCATAATAGGTTTCGGCGCGCCAACGTAGGCAGCTAGCAGCTAGGCAGCGATCCACCTCGTACATTGAGAGAGAGAGTGTGTGTGTGTGTGAACGCGACCCTTCCTCCAATCCATTAATAATTAATATTCCTCTGATCCTTAATATAAAACCCATTTAACTAATTTGATTAGATTAAGGAAGTTAGATAAATTAGTTAATTATAAGAAAAGTGACACATTTTTCCTAAAACACCATAATCATCTTTCTTAATACCACCTCTTCTTCTTCTACTTGATTATGGTTGAGGGAGTATCCATAGGGGTAATTTTGAGAAATTTGATAAATATGAGAAAGGGATCTTATATTTAGGACCAAAACCAACACAAGAATTGGGTCCTATATTAAAGACCGGAGGAGTAATAATTATTATTGTACACATGTTTATACAAATTTTGCTGGCCTTTTCTTGTTCCCAAGCATCGCACAGTTTTACGCAAGTTATGGTTCAGCCTATCAGACTCCCTACGCTTCACAGCTCGGCTGCTTCCTTCTTTAATCTCTGTTAAATGGATTTTCAGCCATCAAAATTGATACCTCCAACGAGAAAGTGATAGGTTATATATTCAATAATTGATCGATGTTATATAGTATATGTATGTATGATGCAGTATTTGTAAACTGAATGTTACGTTTTGTTGTTTTAAGTGTTGTTGTGCTTTTAATTGATAACTCCGCACCGCAAGCCACGTCCCCATCTACGTGCGCGCGCGTGATTTTAATTTCTCCTCTTTCATTTTGGGTACTCCAAAGTCTCTCTTCATTTGGCGACGGCCAAAAAAACAGCTGAAAGTTCAAGTTAATCCACGTAACATTTCTCCAATTAACTTGAAGTTTATAATATTTATTAACATTAATAAATATAACACAGAATAAAATTCGAGAGTATGTGAATATGAAGTCTTCGGGAAAAATAAAATATGAAGTTTCCAAGTTAGAAAAGCAAAACAAGAAAAAAGTTACTCCTTACAAAATTTTAGATAAATACACCCAAAGACGGGAACCATTAACCAGTATATATGTCACATGTTGGGGCGTGATATATTACATAGACCAAAACTAAGTCGCCAATTCATTTAATAATCAGGTTACTTATTATTTGTAATTGTTCTGTTGATTCATTATCATCTTAAAGAGGTTGAGATAATTTGTTATTATATAATAATTAATTCAAATATTGAATATGAACTTCAACGTTGAACTCAATTTTTTTTTCCAAGAAAAAAAAAACCAAAGCCGGACGACGGTCGACGGGATACAAGACAGATTGGAAGAGGGGAAGACTTATGAGACAAAGCAAATGGGCCCATTGTTGTGAGTTGGGCCAGAACCAACCCCTTTCAGAACATTGTTCGTAAATACGTGCCCCGTAATGGTTGGGTTTTCGAAGTTATTGGGGAATATGTTCTTCCACTAACGGACCCGACAAGTGCATTCTTTCCCCAAAAAATGATTAATTGAATGTGGCATGAATCTCGCAGCTGCATGCGTAAAACAATTTTCATCCGCCTATTACTACCTTGGAATCTTTCCGTCGTTCATGATTCACCTTCTTCGGGTCATTCCGCGAAATACACAATAAATGTGATATATGCAGTTCCAGCGTATCTGGACATTTTTCTCGACGAGTAAAAAGGCCTCCTTTCCCCACCGCCCCTTCTTTGTGCCCAGTATTTAAGACTTCCACTTTGCCAGAATATGCACTGACCATTTTCAGAGGGGAATCGCTTCCTCCGCCTCCGCCACGACGTGGAATTTCCCGTCTTTTCTTTCGGCCATGTCCACCGGCAAAGAGCTCGTTCCCAATCACAATGACACCTTTCAGAAGACCCAGCAGCCTTTGCAGGTGAGGCCCGATTGTTCTTTCATTAATTTACTGACTATTTTCAATCTTCAATTTATGATCAAGTCGGGACTTATATCAGTTTTAATTTTGTTTTTCTTGTCCCTGAAAAGTTTTCAATTTCATTTTTGGCGTTACCAGTATTTTGCTGGTTCAAGCTCTTAGCCTCCAGTTCTTTATTGTCGCTTTCCGCACAGTAGTGATGTTTCAAGCTGAAAAGTCATCTTTGAACATTTGGACTTAATTTAACCACACATACACCCATGTGTGTGAAAGCATCGATCCATCCATCAGCTCATGTCTCACGGTCAATCTTCTGTTTGCTTTGTTCTGAGAAAATACATCTGCGAAGAGGGCTCCAATAATTGTTGGGCAATCTAAAGTCCTTATTGCGTTATGATTTGTCATCTCTTTTCGCTTCATCGCTTGCTTTTATATACCCACGAAGATATCAGCAACTCGTTGCTTCCATGTATTTCTCATATTGGTGCCACAGTCAACATGCCCTGGATTTTTTTCGCTTGTTCCATTCATGCTTCTGAGCTATTTGTTCATGCATTTCTAAATGCTGATGAGTCTACCTTGGAATTTTTGGATTCATTATTTTGTTCAATGCAATTGGCCTAAGATTTCGATGTTTATTGCCAGATGAGATGTCTGAACTTATTTATGTTTTATTGAGCCCATGGGATCATCCTAATTAGTTATCTCTTCATAATTGTATCATGACGCAGTGTCTTTTCACACGTTAAACATTCAATTCCTATATGTTTCCCCTGTTTTAGTTGCCGTTTTGGTGCAATTTCTTTGCTTCTGTATCAGTTAGTTGCTTGGTGAATGGCATAGTATTTCCAATATCAAAAAAGTGATTGAAGATGCCAGCTGGTTTAGTTGATGGCGTATTTGCAACTGATACTAGGCCTGGGACCAATTATTGCCTGGTAGGAAGTGGAGGGTTTTGAGTGCTAGGTTTTACTGTGTATCTTATGTTAATGGGCAAATAAGAAACAAAACAAACTTCACACTTGCCATGTGTAGTTTTTTTCCTCCCTTAATTGCCTGAACTTGTTTATGTTTGTCATTGCTTACGTTATCACTTATGTAGGTTGCAAAGCGCTTAGAGAAGTTCAAAACGACAATCTTCTCCCAAATGAGTATGCTTGCCAACAAACATGGGGCCATAAACCTTGGTCAGGGATTTCCCAACTTTGATGGTCCGGAGTTTGTAAAGGAAGCTGCAATTCAGGCCATAAGGGATGGGAAAAATCAGTACGCCCGGGGTCCTGGAGTTCCTGACCTGAACTCGGCCATTGCAGATAGATTTAAGAAAGATGCTGGGCTTACGGTGAACCCTGAAAGAGAAGTTACCGTTACCACTGGATGCACAGAAGCAATTGCTGCGACCGTGTTGGGATTAATAAATCCTGGTGATGAGGTTGTCCTATTTGCTCCTTTTTATGATTCTTATGAGGCCACTCTTTCCATGGCTGGTGCTAAAATAAAATGCATCACTTTGCGCCCTCCAGACTTTGCTGTCCCCTTTGAAGAACTGAAGTCTACCATCTCAAATGGTACCCGTGCCATTCTCATAAATACACCTCACAACCCAACTGGAAAGATGTTCACGCGAGAGGAGCTTGATGCTATAGCATCTCTATGCATTGAAAATGATGTTCTGGCTTTTGCTGATGAAGTTTATGATAAGTTGTCTTTTGATATGGATCACGTTTCTATAGCTTCTCTTCCTGGAATGTTTGACAGGACAGTAACAATGAATTCTCTGGGAAAGACGTTCTCGTTAACGGGGTGGAAGGTTGGATGGGCAATAGCACCCCCTCACTTGACATGGGGTCTGCGACAGGCACACTCTTTCCTCACTTTTGCCACCTGCGCTCCCATGCAGTGGGCAACTGCAGCAGCTCTCAGAGCGCCAGATTCTTACTTTGCGGATCTCAAGAGGGATTATATGGCAAAGAGGGAGATTTTGGTGGATGGATTGAAGGCTGTTGGTTTTAAAGTGTTCCCGTCCAGTGGAACTTACTTTGTTGTGGTGGATCACACACCTTTTGGACTGGAAAATGATGTTGAATTCTGTGAATATCTAATTAAGGAGGTGGGAGTGGTGGCAATTCCTACCAGTGTATTTTACTTGAATCCGGAAGAGGGAAAGAATCTAGTCATATTTACTTTCTGCAAGGATGAGGAAACTCTAAGGGCTGCAGTTGAAAGGATGAAAGGAAGACTGAAAAGAAAATGATCCGGATAAAAGGTTTGAGATGGTTGAACCCTAATAAGCCACGGGATGCACTATATATGTTACAGCACGGAAATAACGTATGAGAGGCATTTTTCTCCACTGGGAGCTTTCATTGTAGGATAGTAGTAACTTCTGTGTGCTTGAAGTGAGAACCAGCAGATGCTCATTAGTCTAGTCATTATTTGTTATCAAGGGCTTTTTGTAAAATTCCAATGTTATTGTGGCTACTTGCTTGTGACAAATGAAGGGTAGGAAGGACATGTACAATAATCAATAATAACCGGGATCATGAACTCCTGCGGAGAAATCACCGACTCTTTTCAGTTAAGAAAAAACTGAAAAGGAAAAGAAAAAACTGGCCAGAAGCAAATGGAAAGATGAGTTGACATGGCATGATCTGCCTCTCCGTCACATTAATTTCTTGTTCTGTTTTGGGTTCGTGGCGAGGATGATGTAAAGAAATGCGCAGTAGGGGGTATGTCTTATCTGAGTTATAATTGCAGCAATAAGATGTTGCCATGAAATAAATTTTGCCGTTTTATGTAATTGCCGAGGTTTTTAAAACGTTCAGCAGCGGCTGAGCTTAGACGCGAATGCCAATGGAGTCCCCAAATAGCCATCCCTGTGATTGTGAGCCATTAGCCGCACAGGGCTAAAGATCATCAAGATTCAAACCCAATCAACTGCGATGTTTCTTGGTGCGTTGACCATTGGTGAAAGAATGATATCATGGATTTTCCATGATGCTATTAAATGAAAAAGGCCATCTCAGGCCCACATATCCATATCTCATCATGAGGCATGCCCATTTCCGGCCTATCCCTGCCTCGCCCACATCTTCCTTGTCCTTAACGCTTCCCCTTTTTTCTTCCAAATCAAAATCATCCATTCCCCTGAACTGTTAATAAATATTATTTGGTATTTAACTGCTATGAATTATGATGCTCCTTCCATTTCAAAATATAAAATAAACTTTATCAATTTATATTTATCAAGAAATTACCTAAAATCAGTTTCAAACAATAAATATATAAGGTATGTATTTTTCCCTCCAAATATGCATTTGTTAATGAAGAGAATAAATAAAAGACACAATAAATAAATTAAAAAAGAAAGAGAATATATAAGAATAAAATTAAAAAAAATTATTAAATATTTACACAAAAATAAATGTTATCTTATAAAGAAATCAAGTCCCTCAGTTTATATTTTTGAACCGGAGTATCTATGAGGTAAGTGATGATACGGTTTTCTCTCGTTAAAAAAAAAAAAGTGATGATATGGTTTTACTTTAATGAATTATTTGTATTGGCTTTGTACGGTTGACAGAGAGGTGAGGGAATACTTTAACAGAGATGGCAATAAATAGTAATGTATTTTTAATAATTAGGGATGTCTAAGCATACGATTTGACTCAATTTGATCTGTAGTTTTCAAAAACTGATCGGTATTAGGCAATATTTCATCCAATTAATCATATTTTCTTTAGACTCCTTGAGGATGTGGTATCTTTGTAAGTTGTGAAAATACTGATAATCTTTTGGTGCAGGAAGTGATTATTGTTGGAATTTACAGATCACTTATAAGGGAGAAAATCCCCGAGTGGATAAGGGAGACGGAGAGAGAATTGCATGAAAATCATTTCACTTGAAATTAAAAACTAAACAAATTTCCTAATGCGGATGTGAAGCCCACTTGCAGTTTATGCATATTTATACTCAATTATTTTATATATAACGTCAAAATTCAAATAAGCAGCGGATAATAAAGGAAATTTTCTCTTTAATAATTTGATGGATTGAAAGTGCATGAAGCTTTTCTTGTTGTGGCTAGTAATCAAGCAGCAAAGCAAAAGCAGAGCATCGCTTTTGGAGCAGTAATAGTAAAGCATCAATGAAGTGTTACCAATTAGTACAGCTTGAACCATAAAACTAGCAGTGAGAATTTGTGCACGCCAATGGTTAAAAAATAAGCCACGTTATTTATGACTTGTAAATTTTATGGCCTCTCTCTCTGTGTAATTGTAAATGCAATGAAAAAGAGAGGATAAACAGGATCAGCTATTTTAGTTGAAGTCGGCCTAACGAGAAAAAGGTGATTAGCATAGAAACAAAGTCAAGTGAGTCGTCACAGTTGAAGCTCATGGCTCCCGCCCCCCGGTTTTTTTAATCCGGTGACGTGGTGGAAAATACTACTACGTACATATCCAACAAAATTCAAACCTTGACAATGTAAATGAAAGCATGCTGAAGATTTTAATATTTTCTGCTTTGAAAACAACTCATGGATGTACATTAAGGCAGGCCTTGGAAGAAAGAAATTAAGTTGAGACGACAGTAGTAATAAATTACCATTTATTTTGAGGGGAGTGAGAAGCGCAGGTGATAAGCGTGACGTGGGCTGATTAAAATGGCAGATTAAGTGATAACATAAAATAAACACACAAAAAAAAAAAGAAGTGATGTGGGAGCCTACAAATGTGAACAAACGGCGGTAAAGGCATCAACACACATCAAACCTAATCATGCTTTCATGTTCAGTGTATCCTTCACCTTTTCTATTAACTTCCTCTCATCTTTTTCCTTCTCTGGGTTTGTAGTCAACCTATGATCACTTTCTCATTTTCTCTGGTGTACTGGGAACAAGAAGTAAGAGGGGGGGGGGGGTGATATCACAGATGCCAAAAAAGGGCGAAGTCCGGCCAAGGAAGAAAATCTGCTCATTCTCTCTGTTGCTGCAAATTTTGAATTTTTTTTTTTGAGCAGATGAAACTTAAATTATCAAGAACATTGGAAATAGAGCTTCTTTATGTTTTCAACAAGCAAACGAAAGAGGCAAAACATGTGAGATGGTGACAAACATAATACTCTATTCCTTGTGTCTGGATACGAGTGAATTGGCCTGCATTAATTATCTAGTTATTTGTAATAAATATTAACAGGTTTTCTTAAAACTTTTTTTACTCATAATTACCATTGAATAAAAAAATAACAGGAAAATTTTACATAATAAATTATAAATATGAGAGATAAAATAAATAGATAACTTATATTTATACTCAGATACAAAGTTGAACTAACTCTTGTATATATGCTCAAGCCTACTATTATTTTTACAATAGTACTCACGATTGAGCATATGTTTTTCCCATTGAAGTGTTATATTGTTTTCGGTTTTAATTATAAGAGCTAATTGACTAATTTGAGGAGATTAAGAAAAGAAGTTAAGTTAGTTATTTGTAATAAATATATGTTATCTTTCCTAAAATATCCTTGCTAATCAAATGTATTGGTTAAAATTATAATTGTTAGAAGGGTTACATTGAAAAAAATACATAAATATGAGAGACAAAATAATTAGAATCTTATATTTAGAATCAAAATAAAAATTAAATAAAATCTTATATTAAAAATCAGTGACAGTACAAACAATCAGTGAGATGACTACCCACGCTGATTTCATTAACAAAGCAGGCGTAGATATCAATCCATCTACTGTTCTCTGCAGGCTACGAACCTAGAATATTATATACTTCGATTTGTTTAAAATGTAGCGTTCACTGAATATGGGAGTATAAAATAACGCTTCATCACAAAATTAACAAAGACGTTAAACCAATAAACACTTAATCTCACAAAATTATCATTAATGACTCAGACAATGTTATATTATTCCCTCCCCCTTATTCTTAATCAGTTGTGACTAGATTTAATTCTAAATATAAAATATTAATTCATTTTTCCTATTATAACTATTATTTTCGAGTAAGCCACTTTATTTAAATTACAAATTGGTATATAATTTAATACTCTTTCAATCCTTAATATAAAATCTATTTAACTAATTTGATTAAATCAAAGAAGTTATAGTTAATTATAAGAAAAGTAACACATTTTTCCTAAAACACCATAATTATTTTTCGTAATACTCACTTTCCTTCTTCTACTTGATTATAGTTGATAGAATATTTATAGGAGTAATTTAGATAAAATTGATAAATATAAGAAATGAGTCTTATATTTAAGACCAAAACCAATCCAAGAATTGGATCTTATATTAAGGACCGGAGGAGTATTACATAAAAATATCTACTCCCCCCATTTTATTTTATTATACAAGAAGTTTGTTAAGTTTTCTTACAAACCAAAAAATATGAGTTAATTTATTAATTTTATTTCAAATTGATAAAACTTACTTATTTTACATTTATTAAAGAACGAGATTAAAAAAATTTCTCTCATTTTTCCTGCATTTAAACTCTTTATTTTTCTCGTAACAGAGGGTTCAAAGTCATGTCAACCTCTTATATTTTAAATTAAATTTTTTCCCTAATCAATTAAACCTAGGAGAATACTCTGCTTAATTTTTTTAAGGGTTAATTAATCCGTAAATCCTTATAGTTTCAACAAAATTTTGAATCAGGTCCCTATAATTTTTTTTCTTTTTATCAGGTCCTTATACTTTTACCTTTTTTTTAATCAGGTTCTTGTATTTATTTATTTTTAATTAAGTCCTTATAATTTCACTAAATTTTTAATCAGGTCCATTTAGTTTTAATTTTTATTTATTAATTAAATATAAGCTTAATTAAATAGATTAATATTGAAATATAAAATTAATAATTAAATTAAATTAATAATTATGTAATAAAAAAGTAATAAATTAATTAATTTAGGAATTTTTTTTAGAACAATTAATTTTTTTGCTGAAAAAATTAAAATCATTATAATAATTCAATATCTTTAGAATATTATTGTTTATAAACTAATATTAAATAATATATACTATTTTATGTTTATATAATAGTACTATTAGAATTTATAAAATAAAGAATAAAAAATTCAGAGACTTAATTAAAAATAAGATGAACTTATAAGGATTTGATAAAAAGAAAAATAAATACAATGACCTAATTAAAAACAAGTGAAAGTATAAGGACCTAATAAAAAGAAAAAAAAACTATAAGAACCTGATTCAAAATTAGTTGAAACTATAAGGAGTTGTGGATTAATTATCCTTTTTTTTAATATATTCAAATTAATTAGCTACCTCTGCAATACTGAGTTTACTGTATACTGTACTATAGAAAGCAATAAAATTAGAGGGTCCTGTGAAGTAACGTCGACCAATTTTCAAACCGTCACAAATAGAATCAAATTAATAAGCATTTATTTGTTTATGGATATGAGGAGAAAATTAGGAATAGCAGCTATCATATTTTGAAATGTCGAATGTTTGTGGCAGGTTTAATTATTCCCCATCTGACATCTGTGCCTTGAATGGCCGTTGACTGCTGTATTAGATGGAAAATTGTGGGAGGAAAACCATGGTAATTGCCTTTTATGCCGAGTGTTAAAATTTAAAAAACGAGGTTTAAAAGCGGAGCCTATTGCTTTCAATTAGAGCTGGGAATGCGGGCTGGCGGTGCGGATACGGGCCAGCCCGCAGCGGTGCGGGCCAAAAGCGGTGCGGGCTGAAGTAGCCCGCACTTTGGCGGGCTGGCATTTTGCCAGCCCGAGCCCGCCAAGGCGGGCTGGCGGGCTAGCCCGCCGGCCCGCCTAACTTTTTTTTTTTTATTTTAAAAATATTATTTGTATAAGTTTAGGCTTAGTTTGTAATGTTAAAATTGGACTTGGAGTTTTAAACTTGAGTAATGAGTTATAATGAAATAATGTGAGGATTAATTTATAATTTGAGAAGATATTTTAGAAAAACCAACACATATTTTTTTCTAAATAATTAATTTGACTATTTTTCTTATCCAAATTAATTAAGTAGATCTTTTATGTATGTATTACATATGTAATTACATGGATGAGAAGATGTAAATATGAAATTTGGGAGTTAAAATCCTTCAATTATATTGTATAACATATTAGAAATTATATAAAAATTAAAATTAAAAAAAAAAAAAAAAGCGGGCTAGCCCGCCAATTGGCGGGCTAGCCCGCGGCGGAGCGGGTTGAAAGCGGTGCGGGCTGGAGTAGCCCGCACCTTGGCGGGCTGGCATTTTGCCAACCCGAGCCCGCCATTTTTGGCGGGCTGGCGGGCTGGGCCCGCGGGCCCAGCCTGTATTACCAGCTCTACTTTCAATCTCTCGCATCCTACGTATACAGTGACGATATTAAAAGTACTGGAGTCTGAAATCTGAATAGATCGTGTCTCATGATAGACGGTGATTAAGCCATGCGAGTAGACTAGGCCCGTGTGGAGTAGTCACTCGGAAACCTAATCTCTCATTCTCTCCGAACTAATTTTAAAACTGGGGTGGCACGTGCCGGCCTGCTACGGTAACGGCAATGCGAGAAGGCGCGGAATCCAGATCCGATGACCATATCTTCCCGTCAAGACCGGGACCTCTTGTCTCGAATCTAACGGCCAAAATGTCACCTCGAGATCCCTCCGTTATCTTACTATTCAACGGACCAGATTGATTTTAGCGCCCTCTCCCCACATTGCTCGATAAATAACACAAAACCCAGTGCCAAGGTCCAAGATTTCTCATTTTCCTTCGGTTTCGAGTCCTGATAGGACTATTTCTTTCCCCTGAACCTCAAGACCCAATTACCGATTACCGAATTTTAGAAAAAAGAAAAGAAAAGAAAAGCTGTTATACGTTTCTGGTTCTTCCCTCTTGCTGTCCCTCTTTTGAGATAGGAAGTTCAGTTGCAGTCCAACTTGGGAAAGTCACTACTTGCAGAGCCCTGCCGGAGATGTTGTTGCCCCCGGCGGCACCGGGAACCACTCTCTTGATAAGAATATCGCGCTACCGGGAAGGTCAATAGGGAAAGATCCGGAGCCCTCTTGCGGGGCCCAAGTTTTCACGATGGAAGGTCAGAAGAGCCAGACCAAACTCACCAGAACCAACTCTTCGCTTCTTCGCTCGTCACCCACAATCCGATCATCCATTCAAAGCCTCTCGTCCGTCAACGAGGAGGACGTTATCCTCACTGCGCAAGATGAAGAGGAGATTAAGGTCAAGAAGCCTCGTAAGTCCGGTTCGACGCCGCGAGCCGTGTCCACCCGAATCACTACCCCGGTTCTTGCCGTCGCGTCTCTGGGTTTCTTTTGCCTGTGTTCTTTGTTCTTTTACCTGTTCTATTTTTTCTATCTCGGGAGTGAAGAAATACCCACTTCGGAGAATTTGTTGTTAGCGCTGATTTTTATCGCCGTCGTTCTCTACTTTGCGTCCAAGAACAAGATTCTGATCCACCAGAGCCTTTCAATTCTGAAGCATTCTTGGGATGAGAATGTGAAAAGGTTTGGGTTTTCGAAGTCTAATTCCAAGCCTGTTCAATGGTTCATCGGGGACTCCCCTGCGACCAGAGGCCGAAAAGAGAAGAAAATTGTAAGGGAAGGGTGGAATTTTACAGCAACGGTGACTTCTACGAGGGCGAGTTTCATCAGGGAAGATGTAACGGCAATGGGGTTTACAATTACTTCGTAAACGGTAGATACGAGGGTGAGTGGGTGGATGGAAGGTATGATGGATACGGCATCGAGAGTTGGGCAAGGGGTAGTCGCTACAAGGGGCAGTATAGGCAGGGTTTGAGGCATGGCTATGGGGTTTATAGGTTCTATACAGGGGATTCTTACGCTGGGGAATGGTTTAATGGGCAGAGCCATGGTGTGGGAGTCCAGGCTTGCTCCGATGGTAGCTGTTATATCGGCGAGTTCAAGTACGGCGTTAAGCACGGACTCGGATGCTACCACTTTAGGTGAGTTTCTGCTCTGTGTTCTTAATGGGGATTGGGCAAGGTGGGGCTTTGAAGTTTCTGATTCTTAATTGAGGCTTTAAGCATTGTGGATTCAGATGAAAATTCTGACTTTAGTTTTGAGTTGCTGTGTTAAGTTGTCGATGTTTTTATACTATTCGCGTGCTGTTCTTTTGGAATTGCAACTCTTTACTGACTCAATTGTAAAGCAGTGAATTCCATCTTTTAGTTGTATACCATATGTGCTTCGATTGAATCCTGATGGGGGTTGCCATGGTGATTGTTGATTCCTTTCGAGTTCCATCTTGTTTTTAGGTGCTGTTGTTTTTCACTTTAATATTTAGGTTGAACAATACCTGAGGCTTTCGTTAGGTGATCTTCGTTTGCCCTGGATGTCTTGATTTTTCTCATGTACGAGCTTTTGCATCTTTGCTTTCTCGTCTGGCAACATATAATATTATGACTTAGTCCTTCTCGTCATTCCTTCACCTTGTGTATTGTTTAAATTAATAACGCATTGAAGTTGCCTGAAGTTGGTTGTCCTGATATTAGTGGCAGTGTTGCAAAGTTTCTCTGGGTGTAGTTATGTCTTGTTGATTTTGGATGAACCAACCCTTTTCTTTTTTAAATTTGTGCTGCAGAAATGGGGATAGATACGCGGGAGAGTATTTTGGAGACAAAATACATGGATTTGGGGTCTATCACTTTGCGAACGGCCACTGTTATGAAGGAGCATGGCATGAAGGCCGCAGGCAAGGTTGTGGCATGTACACTTTCAGAAATAGCGACAGGAGATGCGGTGAATGGGATGCTGGCAACCTCAAGCATCCGCTGCCACCGTTGACCGATGCGGTGCTTCGAGCAGTTCAGGTACTTGTTTTCTGCAATTAAAAGCTTGTTGCCTGCCTTTGTATGTTTGGCCTTCCGGTAACAAGCCCTTTGGCGTCATGGGAATTGAACTTTTCAGGCAGCTAGGAGAACAGCAGAGAAAGCCATAAACCTGAGGCGGGTGGACGAGCAGGTGAACAGCGCAGTAATCGCTGCAAACAGAGCAGCCACTGCTGCCAGAGTTGCTGCTGTGAAGGCCGTTCAAAACAGAATGGATGGAAAATTTTGCGATCTTGATGTCTAAGACATCAGGATCAGGTGTTTGGAACTGTAAATTTTACTAATTTTAAGTGCTTGCTAAAAGAAGATGTCACCCCGGTGAGCACAAGCTTATCGGCGGTTGATGAGAGAGTATGCTTTTCGAGTTTCTTTCTTTCACCACACAGTAACCTGTACATAAGCCCATGTACATCATCAATCAATGAGAATTTGAATTTCCAAGATCCCTTTATTCTGAAAAAATGGCTTTACATGGAAATTGTTGTGCTATCCACTGACTTTGTTATTCAATCGGCCGTCTAATTTCGGAGAAAGTATCGAATTAAGGGGGGTTCCGCGAAGTTTCCCACGGGAAAGCAGCCAGAGTCTAAAGGACGGTGTGAAAGAAACTCATCCACGAACCGAAAAGGAAATTGTGAGCCTTGGTGAGAAAATCGATGTGAGCTTTGGTTTATCTTTATCCTTTTTATTAAAGGGGAGAGACATGAAATGGGTAAAATGCCAATGCTTGGATGTGACTCAAACTGTGGACGGCTAGAGAGGAAGGTTGCAAGTAAGGCTTGGCACGGTAACACGAGAGTGAGACTGTGCAATCCGCCCAACAACTTCCAATAACCCACCCGTCCCCGCCAATTGTGTCTGCTTGTTTCCGTATAAGCCTTTGGCAGTCACGACACAAACCGCCATTGCTTAGATTCAACCAAGTTTAGAATGGAATGAAGATAACATAAATATCCGCCTTCCTATCTCATAATACCATAGTGGTGCTTCGAATCCATGTGACGCGCTTGATAGGGACAGCCATCGTCTCGTGCACATTTTTTATCAGGAAAAAAAATAATGTTTTAATCCAAACAGTGGGCACATGATATTGTGGAGGAGGGGGCAAGATGTTTGTTCCTTTTTACTCAAAGAATAAGGAGGAGAAATGAGTCTGACTTTACTAACATGCATGCCGGATCTAGGATCTGCATCTCACCCGCTCTCAAAAAGTCACATAATTTGGTGGTTTTTCAGGGCTATTTTTTCAGGTAGATGCGCGAGATTCTCTTTCCTGTTACTGTGTTTATGTTTGGAATTTATCTGCTCCCTGTCCCAGATTTGAATCGCTTTGTTTAAACTTGGCTGTCCAACCACTCCACGTGCATCTCGCAAACGTCCAACCGGAAAAAATTGAAGTGTCATGCAAGACACAGAGACGTAAGAGGCAGCATGAGGAGTGGACTTTTTAACTTTTGATCAGAGACTCAAATAATATGAGGAAATAGAAAACTGGCTGGGGTTTTGATTCTGAATAATGGCGAGCCACTAGGAGGGGACGCAGCAGAAAAGAAGAGAATTGATGGGAGGAGCGGAATGGGATGAAGGGGTATTATTAATGGGAGCAAGTTGCGGTTTCAATTGGTGGTTCTATGGGATTGGTCGCCCAGTGAGGGTTCAAGTGGAGAGCACCGCCCTGATGGCGCCAATAAATTAAACCTTCTCTTGTGTCTCTATAGCTTTTATATCGGTCAAAGTTTGTTGAAGAATCCCCATATCATAATGTGTGTGTGTGTGTGTGTGTTTTATTCTGTTGTGGTGACAACTCTGCGTTGCCGTTATAATGCACAAAACGAGGCATCCAAATATAAAATATTCAGATTACCAGTTTTGTTGATGATGGTGAACCACTTGGCCTTGACTAGACATACATTTAATTAGCTCTTACTCTAAGCATGAGACGCAGCTGAAAATATGTTGAGCCAGTAGCCAGTATTTCCATCAAATTTTGCAGACGTATGGAGAGATTAGGGTAATTTCATTCAAAATCAATTTCTATTTGTAATGTCATTCAACTTTTAATGTTGTGTTTGGTTACTGTTGAACTTGATCACTTTCTTGTTTCGCAAGTGTTCGGTAAAATCCAATTAATTAGTTAAAAAAGTGCATAAACAAAAATCCCAAAAGCGATTTAGAATAAAATCTCCAAAGTATCACGCTTTGCCTTACGGAGGCACAGAACTCGTAAGCTTTACAAGACTTTATAAGGTGCACTGTTTGAATAATATAGTTAAAAGATCCTATTATGACTTGCTTTATACTACTAGTACTACTTACCAGCATAATTATCTTCCAACCACTCCCCACTCTGGCACGCTAGCCAGTTAATTAACGAGATTAAACATAATTGCCGTCACTAAAACGCATCACGTGACTCCCCAAAGGAAGATTCTCCCAAACGTGACCTAAAGTGAAAATCTCTCAACCCACTTTATGGAAAAGGAGCGTCTATTTAAACTTAGATCAGCAGTTTCGTTTAAAAAAAAAAAATCTATGCTTTGCAATTTTAAACAAATATCTTAACGAGGTCCTTAGAAATAGAGAAAGTAATTATTTTTAATTATTTAAAA